AACCAATTTATTACTGACTTTAGAAAATAATAAATACCATTAGAAAAGCCGAAACTAAATTTTATTATTATTACGGATGCCGCCTGTACCCACACCTGCAAGACATGTCGTGTCTTCGTACTTCCAAGGTTTCATGCAATTTCATAATGAAACAAAATTCCGATTAGCAAAATATGCCAACAGGTATGGTAATTTTCTAAACGTCCAAACCAACTTTATGATTAACTCAACAGCAGGGTCGTTTGCAAATGTCTGGACTCTTCCCTTCTCCACGCCAAACACTATATAACGGTGGATTAACCCAATAATATCAAGACATTTGGAACTCCTTCGTTTTGTATGATTTTTCAGTCTTGTATCTGTAACTATAGTGTATACATGACGAATTGTATCCCGATCTCTCTCAATAGGTTCCGAACAAAATACCCTCAAATCCCAATTACTATCTTCTGTAAACCCACAGCCGGAAAATCAACTATCCTTGCTAGAAGTTTGATTATAAGTCCCTTAGAGTGTTCACGAAAGTGCTCCACAAATAACTTTTCTCTCCTAAAAGATAGTTTTTTATATATATGTTGATTATGGATTTAGTTTTTTATTATATATTGGTTATGATTAGTTATGAGTTTATTTTATTGAATTTATTTATTAATGATTATACTGTAATTGTAAAGCTTCCAACAGATAATTGGCCTGAAGTTGAAGAAATAGTAAAGAAATATGTTACTTAATTATTATTTAATTTCCTCATTTATATTTAATAACAGCATATTATTATTTATTATTTATTATTTATTATATATGAAATAATAGCAAATTACCCGTTGTTATGAAGTAGTAATAGTAGATTATGATAATAATAACAATTATTTATTTATGTAATAGTTGTTGTTGTTATTATAATCAATACAAAAAAATATTAAAATGTCGTCTTTCTCTCATTTGAAATTTTAAAAATCATTTCGAGCGCGCACACAAAAATCCGATATAACTAATTTTATTTTAATCGCAACTATCATCGTCCCCTTTAAATCGAGAAATTTTTTTTGAATCTCGTTATATCGTAAAATTACAAAAAGTCCACGTGTGTATACCCGAAGCTGTACTTAATACATCTTTATCCCTTTTAAAGTAAAAAATGGACAGGCAACAAGCCTTTCAACGTCATTACCCAGTAGTAAATTCAAAACCACTACTGTGCAATTCTATTATTAGTAAAATGTAAATGCTTGCTTATAAATTACTCATTCTTTACAAAAAAATTAAAAAAAATGTAGTTTAATTTTTTTTTATATATAATTAATAATAATTTTTTACATAAAAAATAGTAATTATTTTTTCCTTTGAATTAAAAACAACAAACTTAAAATAGTTGCATGATATATTAATTTCTCTTTTTTTTTCTAGCATAGATAAAGAAAGAAATTTACAAGATTTTAAAGGGGGGGGGGGGGGTTTTTAAGAGTCATGGGTTTTTTTTAAAAAAGTTTTTACAATATTTAAAAATTTTGGCTGATTTTTTTTTGAAATTTTTGAAGATTTTTTTTGTATTTTTTTGTTGTTCGTTGGGGGGGGCGGGGGGGGGGGCGGGGGGGGGGGGGGGGGCGGGGGGGGGGGGGGGGGGGGGGGGTTTTTAAGAGTCATAGGATTCTTTTAAAACAGTATTTACAATATTTAAAAATCTTGGCTGAATTTCTATTGAAACTTTTGTAGAATTTTCTTGCGAAGAAGAAGAAGTTGTTGTTGTTGTTGGTAAAAGAATGGAAACCAAATAATCCCGAATTTTATCTGCTACTACTACACCGCCATTGCCAACATTAGAAAAAGATGATGTTGATGATGTAGTAACAGCAAAAGCAAATTCAGGGTTTGGTGTTATTGCTATTAATCCTTCCAACATCTCCAATTTACTTTTTTCGTCAAGTTCAGCCAAAGTTTTCATTGAGATAGAAAATACCGGTAATGGAAGTTGAGATAATGACTTTATGGTAATTTCTTTAATAATATCATCCAATGCTTGTTCTGCTGTTAAAAATCCACCAGCATTCTTTTCCAACCTTGATTTAATTCTTGATTCTAACCATTTATTTAAAACGTCTGATATTTTAAAGGATTTGTTCTTTTTCGGCATATTTGTGTATGTGAGAGAATTTTGATGTTGTGTTTTAAAAATCGTACAAATACTGAAACAGTTTTTCAATATATTAATGAGCAAAAAAAAGTGATAATCGATTTAAAATTTGTCACCACCACGTATTTGTGAAAATTTGTAACATGTAAATGTAAATGATTAAATTCCCATTTACCGATACATTGATTGGTAAATATTTAACGAATATGTATTATCATAAAAAAAATTAATTTTATAATTAATTATTTTGGAATAAAAATATTATATTATGCATAAAGTTAAAAAAAGCCGTTGTTTCATTATCACAACGACTTTTTTTTGTTTAACGGTTAGAACACATCACATTATAGTAATCATTTTTTTATAATATATATCCTCTTTCTATATAGCGAACCTTTAATAACTCTTTTTATAGCAAATAAAGGCACAAAAATACACATAGAACGGATGGTTTGCTATGAAGAGAATGTGGGCTATGTAATATACTGCTTTCTCAGAACAATACTTACAAAATGATTAATAAAGTGATGAATGATTAAGAATGGACGAATTAGTAAATGCATAAGAAACTTCATCTACGTTAGCCGGCCATGTGTAAAAATAAAACTCTGGTTAGAAACCACTGTGATCAAATATACAATTTTTATTTTTTATATCATCCTAAGTGGTAAATATGATTGATTTGATGGTCTGAACGGATACGATAAGCTTTTGTTGATTTTGACAGTAGGGATTGGTAGCATTCCTTAGGCATATTTGTTTATAGCCTCCGGTCATATTCCAATCATAAATAGTAAAAAAGATTATGTATTTTATTTATTTATTTGACGGCTTTAATTAATGACCTCTATAGTAATAGCCCTTTTTTTTTTGCTTTAACAGCTATCTAGCGTTCCATATTAATTTTACGCAAATCATAAAAAACGACATCATTATTATGCAAACTAAAATCGTTTTGTTGAACGTAAGTTTAAACATATAATTAAAATATGAAGAAATGCGGATATACTTGTTCAGAGATCTCCACAAATGCAAATATCACGTGAATGAATCTTGAGGCTTGCTTTGTCCTTTAACATCTTTTGAATAGCACCGATATACGTCATTACTATAAACAGGACCAGGTTATTAAATTCTAAAATGTAACATTTTTTTCTCTTTACCCATTTTAGCATATAATAATAACATCTCAACTTCACATGTAAACCATTGAAAAAATTTATTA